AGTAGAAGTAGAAGTCGTAGTAGAAGTAGTAGTAGTAGTAGTAGTAGTAGTAGTAGTATTAGTAGTAGTAGTTGTAGTAGTAGTAGTAGTAGTAGTAGTAGTAGTAGTAGTAGTAGTAGTAGTAGTAGTAGTAGTAGTAGTAGTAGTAGTAGTAGTAGTAGTAGTAGTAGTAGTAGTAGTAGTAGTAGTAGTAGTAGTAGTAGTAGTAGTAGTAGTAGTAGTAGTAGTAGTAGTAGTAGTAGTAGTAGTAGTAGTATTAGTAGTAGTAGTAGTAGTAGTAGTAGTAGTAGTAGTAGTAGTTAGTAGTAGTAGTAGTAGTAGTGGTAGTAGTAGTAGTGGTAGTAGTAGTAGTGGTAGTAGTAGCAGTGGTAGTAGTCGTAGTAGTAGTAGTAGTAGTAGTAGTAGTAGTAGTAGTAGTAGTAATAGTAGTAGTAGTAGTAGTAGTAGTAGTAGTAGTAGTACTCGTAGTTGTCGGAGTCGTAGTAGTTGTAGTAATGATGATGGTGATGATCTTGTTTCTAACATCCAGTGCGAGTCGTAATATTACGAATTATAATAACAGTAGTATCACGAAATAACAAACAGGACGACAACTGAAATCACTGATTAGCTCGCGCCCTGGCTTATGCCTTTGCCCCTCTGCCCTTCCCTTGCGCCCGACCGGACAGCTTCAGGGGTCAGCAGCTCGAACGGGTTTTGGGCGTCTTGGCGGAACCACGGCGAGCGTCTCCGCATCCTGGGGCCTGGGAAACCTTCGCGGGTCGGTGCGGCCCGGGGGATCCCGCGCGAAGGACAGGGGTCGAAGGCTCCGGCCATGACATCTTCACGAAGTTGTGCTTGTCCCACGGCGTCGGATGTCTGGGTTGGCGGCGCGCGCAACGGAGGAGGGCGAGGGTTGGGGAGCCTTCCGAGAATCAGCGACAATTCTGCGTAAACGCAGACTTTCGGAGGTCGGCGCGGATTTCTTGGATCGGCGTTGTACCCCCTCCCGCGCCAGGGGTGGCGCAGGAGCCGCCGCAAGGGGGGCTCAGCTCCGATCCGTGAACTTCGCGCGCACCTCCGAGCGTTTATGTTTATACTGTTTTTTCTCCTTCCGGTGAAAGCATGGGGCTTCTTAGGGTGCGCGCGCACTCTCGGACTTTAAGGGGTCGGTGATTTTTTTCTGAAAATGCCCGCGGCCTTTTTAAGAAGGCCACGCCCACGCCCCCACCAGCACTACTCTCGTCCTGCGCGCCGCCAGACGTCGGCCAGCTGGTGAGGCACCCGGGCAAAGAAGACACACACTCACACTTTGATCCTGGCATGGCCCATCCTGTACCCAGGCTCGGCGCGTATATATGTATATGTGTATGTGCATATATATATATACATATATATAGATATATGCGTTTATAGCTGTACACGATCTGTACACATGATACGTGGGCAATGATATGCAACTGTGTGATGCGTGTATGCTTGTACACATGTATACATCATCAACACATGCCTATATGTATCGAGTGGCCTTCGGCTCATCCCGCCACCTTGCCTGGGTTCTGGGTCAGAGTCCTCGGGATGCTTCTTGGGGTCTCTGCCGAGCGCTCTCGGGGGCCTTTGGAGGGCAGTTTTGGGGCATCGTTGGAGGGCGTCGTGGGGGCGTCTTCGGGGGCCTCTTGGGGTTTCCTGGGGGCCTCTTGGGAACTTCTTGTGGCCTCTTGGGGCCGCTTGGGGGTCTCCGAGGGTTCGAAATGTCCGTTCGGGTCCCCCGTCTGGGTCCCCTCGTGGAACCATCTTGGGGACTCGTGGGCCGTCTTGGAGGCCTCGTGGGCCGTCTTGAAGCCCTCTTGTGCCGTTTCGTGGCCATCTTGGAGGACTCTTCGGTTGTCTTGGGGCGAGATTGGGGGCCTCTTGGGCCATCTTGGAGCGGAAGCCGAAAAGGCAAGAACGGCCAAATCATTCAGAACCTCAGGAAGATCAGTGTTTTTTCTCTTCGGGGCCCTTCTGGGAGTGCTCTTTGACGCCTCCTGGGGCGTCTTCGAGGCCTTCGGCCGTCTGGAGGCCATCGTGGGCGTCTTTGTGCAATATTTGATTCTGGGCCCTCTTGGTCTGCCTGGGCGGCCTCCCAGGGCTTTCTTGAATTGTTAATGCTTTCTCCCTGCTCGCTTCCTGTATTCGCCGCCGCCCCGCTACCGAATTTGGCTCAGGCTACCACTCTATGAAGGAGCGCGCTTCCCGCGCGCGCGAGGGTAAAGGGGAGTTGCATCGTCTCGTCTTCGTCCTCTCCTCCTCACTCGCTCACTTCCACATCTCAGCTCAACGGATTGTTTAATATTAAGGAATACATCTGGTAGACCCACCATGAGCGATGATACCCATACTTCACCATCACCATTCATACCCACCTTCGCCGGAAATTATGTTCCTCTGGCGAATGATTGGTTAGCAGCCAGAAGTTGCATTGATGGCTCAGATGCGCAGACGATTGCAGCCAATGATAGGAAGGAGCGTAGTTGTTCATGCAGAGGGCGCCCATGCTCGGACGATTGTACCTCTAACGGGTGAACCAATCAACATATTTTCTGGAGCACCCGTTGTCTCATTGCTAGGTGATCCATTCGTTACAACAGCAGACGGCGGATTGGTATTGATTCCGCCGAGAGAGAAAAAGGGACGATATGGCACGCGAATTATCTGCTACTCTGGAAGATTGACATATACTATCCGACGTTCTACTGTTTAAAGCAAACTGGTCCCAAGTGCATCTCAAGAAGATCACACACGGGATAATAGCACAGGGGATACGCCCGGGGCGAAGCGTCACAAGGCGCCTGGATATGCCATCATGGACAAGGATCCTCCTTTTCTGGTCTCCGACGTGGCAGGATCCATAACTGATGTATGCATGTGTACATGTATATGCGTATATAACTAGGTATACATAAGTACACCTGTATATATAGTTAAGCATTGATGTGCATACATAGGTATATGCATACGCGTATCCAGAGGTGTGTGTGTGTGTATGGAGATCCATATCTATATGTATATGTATATGTACATGTACATACACACATATCATGTACATGTGCATACATATGTTGTTATGGACATGGGTCTGCATATGCACATGCGTACGTATAAGGTTTATGTATATCCGTATGTGTATGTGTATGTGCATTTTTTGACCTGCGTACACGTATGCGTATGGGTATGCGTAGGTACAAAGGTATGTGCATGTGTATGTGTATGAGTATGTGTATTCGTATGTCTATGTGTATGTGTGTATGTGCATGTGTATAGGTGTCAGTATGTATATGCGTATGTGTTTTGTATGGTTATGTATATGTACAAGGACATGCGTCTGTTTATGCATGTATTTGTATGTGTTTGCATGTGCAAGTATATGGGTGTACGTATAGATAGATGTGCACACATGTTTTCGTACAAATCAGGATATGGCTACGTGACCACGTATGTGTGTATGAATGTATGGGTATGAGTACCTGTATACGTTTTTGTACACGTACGTGTAGGTGTATATGTTTTTTCCAGGTTGTATGTGTATAACTATATGTGTACGTATCTGGACACGTGCGTGTATATGCACATGCGTATGTGTATGTATATGCTCCCCACTAAGAGCTTGCCTTTGTAGGGGTCCTAGCGGATTGATATGGTTAGGTTAGCTGCGTCGCCGATTTTGGCGGCCCGCCTGGGTGCCCGGGTGCCCTGGTGCCCAGGAGTTGCGTCGTCGATTTCGGCGGCCCGCCCGGGTGCCCGGGTGCCCAGGTGCCCTATAGCCCTATAGCCCTACAGCCGTATAATTCCCTACCTAGGCTCTGCCTAGAAGGGTTTTTACTCTCTTAGCTTAAAGGGGCCGGGCAGTGGAAAGCGCCCTGGGCGGTTCTTCCGGTCCCCGCCCCGCGGTTCCCCCCAGTCCCCTGGGAGCTTTAGCTTTAGCTTAGCTTTAGCTTAGCTTTAGCTCAGCTGTAGCTTAGCTTTAGCTTAGCGTTTCGCTTAGCTTTTCGCTTAGCTTTTCGCTTAGCTTTAGCTTAGCTTTTCGCTTAGCGTTTCGCTTAGCTTTTCGCTTAGCGTTTAGCTTAGCTTTAGCTTAGCTTTAGCTTAGCTTTAGCTTAGCTTTAGCTTAGCTTTAGCTTAGCTGTTGCTCAGCTTTAGCTTAGCTTTAGCTTAGCTTTAGCTTAGCTTTAGCTTAGCTTTAGCTTAGCTTAGCTTAACTTTAGCTTAACTTTAGCTTAGCTGTGGCTTAGCTTTAGCTTAGCTTTAGCTTAGCTTTAGCTTAGCTTTAGCTTAGCGTTACTGTTACTACTGATGCTGCTTTCCTAGGGGTTCCAACTCCTAGGTTGGGTCGCACTGGGATAATTTTATAGCCCTAGAGCCCTACAGCCCTATAGCCCTATGGCCCTATAGCCTATAGCCCACTAGCCCAATACCCCTACAACGCTATAGCCCTCTAGCCCTCTAGCCCTATAGCTCTATGGCCCTATAGCCCTATTGCCCAACAGCCCTGAAGCCCTGTTAGCCTTCTAGCCCTATAGCCCTATAGCCCTAAAACCCCAAAATCCTATATGTATGCATATTTATATGTTTATGTATGTGTATAGTTATATGTATGTGTATATGTATAGGTATATATATATGTAGATGTGTTTATATATTTGTATATGCATATGTGTATGTTTTCGGATACGCAGATGTATGTATAGGTATTTGAAAGTGTATATGTATATGTATATGTCTATGTGTATGTATACGTATATGCATATGTATATGTATATGTATACGTAGGAATGTGTGTACATGTACGCATATACATGTGTATCTGTGTATTTTCATGTAACAAGGCAGGTGTATTTGTAGATACGTATGTGCATTTGAACATGTACATGCGCATTCATGCCTATACATATATATATATAAATAGGTATGTGGGTACACGTTCACATATCTGACTGCCTGGCCATGCCGGGCGGACATGTGCACGAGTTCCCGGGCCGAGGATGGGCTTGGCCAGGATCGGTTTATATGCCTATGTCTCCTCCCCCTTGAGGCACGTGAGGGAGGCGGAGCTGGAGTGGCGCATCCGCCACCCGCCCTTCTGGCGCGCCGCCCTGGGGCGCCTGCGGGAGCTCCGGCCAGAGGTCGGGCTGCAGGAGGCTGTGCGGCTGCTGGCGGTCCTCGCAAGGTTGGGGCCAGAGCTGGCCGACGCAGAGCTGGTGGACCACTGCGAGCGGCTGCTGTCGGAGGCGGTTGGCGGCGCGCCCACTGGGGGGCAGGGGCGGTGCTCGCAAGCGGATAAGGGGGCCCCTGAGCAGCCCTCCTGCCCTCCTTGGGGCTCCCCTTTTGGAAGCCTCCGCCGGCCCTTAAAGAGGCCCGCCGACTTCTCAGCAGGGCAGCGGCCCCTCGCCGCGCCCCCCTGTGGTCTGCGCGTGTCGCCACGAGGCGGAGGGCGAGGCCCTGCTGGACGTCCGCGATGCCGAGCTCGCGCGCGCCGCGGAGGCGCTCGGCGCCGTGGGGAGGCCGGACGCCATGGCGCTGGCGTTGCGGCCCGTCATCGGCCGGGCGCACAGGCTCGAGGGGAGGCTGCTGGTGCGGCTGGTGCGCGCGGCGCGAGCGGCCGAGTGCCCTGCGGCCGCCGAGCTCTCTGACGCGGCCGCGCGCGCGCTGGTGGAGCGCGGGAATGCCGAGGCGGCCGTGCTGGCGGCCGCCGCGTCGGAGGCGGCCGCGCTGCAGGCGCCGGCGGGCCCCCGGTCGGGGCTCGAGCTGCTGCTGCAGCACTGCGTCCGCCGCGCCCGGGAGGCGCCCGAGGCCTTCCCGCAGGCGGCCCTGGCGCGGGTGGGCCGTGCGGCGAAGGCGTGCGGCCAGGAGACCGTCCGAGCGGCCCCGCGGCTCGGCCCGGCCTGGCCGACGTCGCCGCTGCGGTGGCGCCGTGGTGGTCGTGGTGGTGGTGGTGGTGGTTGTAGTCGCCGTCGCTGTGGTGATCGTTTCGGAGGTGGTGGTCGTCATGGTTCATGGTCGTCGGACCCTCCTGTCCCGTCCCTCCCTCAGGAGCGAAAGAAGGACGTACACGTACATGAATCGACGTCCGTTCGAGAGTGCGCCTTGCGCGAGCGTTCGTGTCACGAGGCCAGTCTCGCGGATTGGGGGGCCGTGTTCGTGTACGTGGTTTGGCGTGTGCGTCCTTTGTGGGCTCCCCTCCCTCCCTCTCCCTCCTTCCCCCCTCCCTCCCTCCCTCGCCCTCCCCTCCCTGGCTGGGCCGTGGCCGCGCCCCGGTGCCGCTCGCGCCGTCGCACTGCGCCGCCTCCTGGAGTCGCAGCAGGGCGCGCCAGAGCCGCAGACTGCCGGCGGCGCCAGCGGCGCCGTTCTCGTCGGCGTCCCGGGGCCGGGGCCGCCGCATCGGGGCGCGGCGGCGGCGGCGCAGGGCGCGGCTGCCGCGGCAGGCGGCGGCGGCGGCAGCGGCGCCAGCAGTGGCTGGCTGGGGCCAGAGCCGGCGCAGCGGGCCAGCGCGCCAGCGCCGCAGCCTGGTCTCGGGGGCGAGGGGCCGGACCGCGCGCCGCTGGCAGGGGCGGAAAAGGCTGGCGCAGGGGAGGGCACGGGTGCAGCACGAGTCTAGGTATTTCAGATGAGCGACGGCAGAAAAGTGGTCGTCTTCGCCCGAATCGGCGTGTCAGTTTCCCGCGTAAGGTTGCGCGTGAGCGCCCTCGTTTCCAATGTGGCGTGCCGCGCAGGCGTCCCGCATAGTCAAACCGCGGAGTAAAGTCGTTGTGCCTGCTCGCGTGAGATCCGTTTGTGTTCATCGCTCAGGCGGGGTCAGAGTAGATGGGGTTGGAGGATCGCGCCGCATCGCCGAGCGCATCGGCGATGCGGCTCGATGTGGAGCCCGATTCTCGCTCCACGCCGATGGCGCCGATGCATCGCCGCCGTCGGCATCGGCGATGCGGCGCGATTCTCCGAATCCGTCTAGTCGGACCCCATTTGGAAGGCCTCTAGCAGGGGGAGTGCATGGGTGCAGCATGGAGAGGATGGTCCTGAGGGGTCGAGGATCGCGAGGATCGAGGGTATCGGCGTTTTGACTTTTTGAACCTCCAGGCGACATCTTGTCTCGACGGCTGGATACATATTGCCATTCTATTCTGGTCATAACGCACCACCGGGGAGGTCTGAGGGCTGAGTTTTCAGAGTCGCTATGCAAAACAGATAGTCCTGAGCGAACGGGTTCCTGAGTTTATTCTTTTCGGCCTCGCGGCGCCCTTCCCGGCCCCCCGAGACCGTGAAGAAAGCAATGCAGGACGAACATTCGGCCCCGGGGAAATCCCCGAGGTCCAGGGCCAGTTTCCCTCCGGACCACTCATGCCAAAGTGGGCACTTGTCAGACGATGCCCCGTGGAAATCATTTCTGGCTTCGTCAGAGCGTCTTTGCATTTGCTTTCGGCCCTGAAGCTCTTGACGCCTCGCGTCTCCCCACCAGCCCATTCAGCAACGGTGCCCGGTCGAGTTGCACTGATCAGGGAAGTGCGGGAGCACGCAGTGGAACGAGGAGGGGGGGCAGCCGTCAAAGCGAATATCAGGATCAGCATAAGCAGGCCCAGGAGTCAATCATGCATGCCCTCGCGGATCTTTCGATCTGGGCGCCTGGTGGCAGCTTATTTGGGCCATCTCGGGGCCATTTTGGAGGTCTTCGGGGCTCTATTGGGGCCTCTCGGGGCCGTTTCGGGATTTCGGGGTTTTCTTTGGGCCCTCTTGGGGGCTTTCGGGACGCTCTTCGGGCCATCTTGGAGGGCGTCTGTCAAGCAATGTGGGGTGGTCAATTAGCTCCGCCCCCTGGAGCCCGAACGATCGCCTCTTGTGGCCGTTTTGAGGCGCTCTTGGGCGCTCTCGGGGCCGTCTTGGAGCCCTACTGGGCCTCTCCTGGGGCCCTCTGGGGACGTCTTTGAGCCATCTTGAGGCCCTGGAAGGCCATTTGAAGCGAAACGGCGAGAAAACCATAATCATTTGTTTCCTGAAATTATGGGCCTGTTTGGAGGGATCTTGTGGCCTCTTGAGTCGTATCCCTCTTGAGCGATCTTTGGGTATCCTGAGCCATCTTGGAGGCTATCTTGTGCTCTCTGAGGCAATATTGGAGCATAAGGCACTATTGGAGCCATGCTGGCCCAACATCCTTCCAAGGATGCCCCCGAGATGCCAACAGCTTGAAACACCTAATTGTATTTCCATGAGTTTGGCATTGAGCGGACGGGGGGTCCTCAGTTAACCCCGCCCCCCTGGGCCCTCAAAGACCGCCTCTTTGGGCTCCCTTGGGCGCGGGCGCTCTTGGGGCCGTCTTGGGGCCTTCTTGGGCCCCTCATGGGCCCCTCTTGGGGCCCTCTTGGGGTATCTAGGAGGATATCGATCAGAGAAGGGGGGCGTCCCCTGATGGCGTTGCCCTTAGAGTCCCCAGAGTACGGAGTCGCCTCTTGGGGCGCTCTTGGGCATTCGTGGGTCCGTTCTGGAGCTGCCTTGGGCCACTCTTGGGGCTCTTTGGCCATCTTGGAGCCCATCTTGGAGCCATCGTGAGGCTTCGAGCGCGCCCGTCGGAAGCGAACGTGTGAGAATGCCAAGCTCTGTGTTTTCCTTTGGGTTTTGAGCGGGTGTTGGTCTCTCGGGGGCATCCTTGGGAGGCTCCGTGGCCAGTTGAGGCCGTCTTGGAGCGGTATCGGGGTCTCTTGGAGCTTGGTGGGAGCTACCTTCAGCGATCTTGCGATATCTTGAGCCATCTTGAGCCATATTGGAGGCCCCATTCGATGCCATCTTGGGCAATCTGGGGCCCTCTTGGGGCCATCTTGGTCCATCTTAGACGCTCTAACGACGTGGGAGGCCGTAGGGGGAGGGGTCAACCTCTCCCAGAAGGGGAACATTGGGGTTGGAAGAGGAAGCGTTGTGAACCACCCGCGCCCTGAAGGGCTGGTGGGATTTCATTGGGGTCGCCCTGTCAACTCTACTGACGCGACCTGGCTGCCATCGTTTTTGCACAGGGTGTTGGTTGCACTGGCATGCCCATCCAAGGCACAGTTGCTCACACTAGTGTCCACTCCAAACACACTGGCTCATTCTTGAGGCGGCAGGAAAAGCAGGAGGAAGAGAGAAGGGGGATGCTGCTGATGATGATGATGACGATGCTGATGATGTTGATGTTGATGATGATGATGATGATGATGATGATGATGATGATGATGATGATGATGATGATGATGCTGATGATGATGATGATGATGATGATGATGATGATGATGATGATGATGATGATGATGATGATGATGATGATGATGATGATGATGATTAGGAGGAAGAGGAGGAGGAGGAGGAGGAGGAGGAGGAGGAGGAGGAGGAGGCGGAGGAGGAGGAGGCAGAGGAGGTGTAGTGGAATGGGGAGGCGAGGGCGAGAAGGAGAAGTGCGGGGATGTGGGGGAGTAGGACGACGACGATCACGAAAAGCTAGACGACGATGCCGAAGGCGCAGGCGGATCAGAAGCAGGATAACGCGCGAACACTCTTAGGAGCCACCTTGGCTCAAAAAATGTGGCTTGGTGATTCTGGACTTCTGGGACTGGCGACTACGACGAAGACGACGACGAAGACGACGGCGAAGACGACGGAGAAGACGACGACATCGTCTCACACACGCCGAAGGGTCGGCGGATTTATGTGTTGTCTGCTGCTGACAGGGGCTGTGTGTGTGTGTGTGATACTTGCCTGTATCGGCCCTCACAGTCGTCTGCCGAGTTGTTACTTGCCATGTCTGTCCGTGCAGGAGCGCTTTGGACGGTGCAGTACTCGTTCCTGTGACCGGCGGTGGCGATGCCAAGTAGTCTTGCTTGTCTGGATTCTTTGATGCCGCGGCGGATAGGGGCATAAAAGTCCTGAATCTTTGGCCTGGGTCAGGCCATGACGCGATGCGATCGACCGTTTCTTCTCCGATACCTGACGTCTGAAGATATCTGAAGTTCCATGCCAGGGCCTCGATTTGTTTGACTCTATGAGCTTTTGTCAGTTTGGCAATTTTTCGATTTGCAGGGTATCTGGGGCTTTCGCGGATGATGGAAGGATCGAGGGACGTAGGAGGGGAGAGGAGAGGGAGGCGAAAGTAGTAGAAGGGAGGTGAGGGGAGGATATGATGGGTGTGTCGAGAAGAGGAGTGTTTTCGCATCAGCAGGGGTCGTCGAGTCTTCTGCTGCAGTGTGCTTGGAGGCGATGCGGGAGCCGCAGAGGTGTGATCACGCAGGAGTTTCGTAGACATGTCCTCTCACGCCTTTCCCTGCTGCTAGCCGGTGCTATGTGCAGATCGTAGAGCCGACCACGCAGCGTTTCCAAACCTCAGCCTGCACAACTTCTATTTTACACCGCGACCACCAGCTGCCACCACCTTCGTCTTTCCAGCTTGAAGCATAGCCCTATCCCTATATTTGGCACCGCCTCATCTCGATGTCGATCTTAAGGATTCCCTCAGTTTCTGAGGGCGCACCCCTAAGATTGTCATTGCCTCTTAGCTTGTCCATCTCAGGAATGGGGGATACAGTCAACGCGCATAGTCAGGATGAGCGACTTTCCAAGGCTACCCTTGCATCATTCGCTTTCTTTTTTTTGCTGGCCGCGCCTCGCTCGAGAAGTGTCGACCTGGCTTTCCAGGACCGCTGCACCCATATCACGCATCCTTATTCAGCGTTTTGACTAAGCTCGAGGCTGCACGAACTACATGTTCTGGGTGTGGTCTCCGCTCCCCGCGCGCCTCCTTCCTTTCTGTCCCCTTCCCTTGTGTCGCATCCGCGTGCCGTGTGTCCCGCGCCATGCTTTGACCGCGTCTTGGCTCCAGGTTGCCGCCGAACAGAAAAGTTCGACCGCGCATCGGCGCTGGGGCCCCCCTGGCGGCGCCTCTGGCGCCACCCCTGGCGCGCTCCGCACGCCAAGGAGGGGGGTCCAGCGCCGGTCCGAGGAACCCGCGCGGTCCTTCAGGAGGCCGCTTAGGAGGGCGCGAGGACCCCTCAGTTGGCCGCGAGGGCGCCCTGGCCGAGGCCGCGAGTGCGCTCTGGGGGGCGGGCCCGGGCAAGGCTGCGCGGGGCGCTGGAGGAGGCTACGGGGGCGCCGCGCGCCCTGAGCCCCCTGCCCGCTCCTGCGGGCGCTTGTGCCGCAGTCGAGTCTGATTCGAGGGTGCTATGGGCCTTCCAAAGGGGGTCGGAGTATCACCGAGCGCGTTCAACTACTCGCAAAGTCCCTGCTCGCAAACGCCCGAAAAAGCACAGGCTTGCCTCGATCTAACGGATCGTAGATTCCCCCTCGGCGGATTCGGGCAAATTGCGTGTAGTTATTTTGCGGCCTGGATGGGGGTGGGAGGATGAGGTGGGAGGATAGCACCGCATCGCCGACGCATCAGTGATGCTTCTCGATGTGGAGACCCGATGTTCTACACGCCGACGTCGACGATGCGGCGAGATCCTCCGACCCCATCCACGCGGACCCCATCCGGGAGGCCTCTACAGGTCGACCCTGTCAAAAATCAAGGATACCCTTTTGTCCTGTGCTTCGCGACCCATACCTTCAACATTCCTGTGGCGGAGTCGCCCTCGGAAGAGTCTTGTGTCCCCTCGCGCGTCCTCATCCCATCAAACTCGACTGAAATAATGCAGCTTTTTCGTTCTCTAGTTTCTCTCGGCCTTCTCCGCCTCTCCTCGCGCGAGAGGCGAGGGGGAGTAGGGTGGCTGCAAGGGCGAGGTCTCCCGCGTTCACCCTTTGGGCAAGGCGTCCCTGCCGCTTCCGAGCCGCCTCGGGCTCGCTCCTGGGCAAGCACCTGCGCAAGCCCGAGCCTGTGGTCAATCGACGATCCTTCTTTCGGGTTCGAACCCCCCTCCTGCGAAACTCATCAATTCATCCTTCGCCCTCTCTCTCTCTCTCCCTCCTCTCTCCTTCCTCTCTTCTCCTCTCTCTCTCTCTCTCCCTGTTCCGTGTCGCGCGGCGGTCGTCTTCCCTTCAGTGGGAGCCCCTTCTCAGTCCCGAGATGGCTGATTGTGGTGGTGCTCGGCGAGAGGGGGGCGGGCACAAAACAAACTTGTTCAAACATCCAGATTTTTTGTTCCCAACCATCCTGTGGTGTTGGGTCCTCGTTTCTCCCAACCATCCTGTGTTGTTGGGTATTCGTTTTGACGAGACAGCGCCCCGCATTCCTTCCTCCTCCCGCTGCCCCCTCCCTCCTCCTCGCATCATCATCGTCATCATCATCATCATCATCATCATCATCATCATCATCACCCTCACGAGGATCGTGGCCCCATAGGAGCTCCTCCGAAGGCGCCAGTTGCAACGTGCGCATGGCGGCCTCGGGCCATTTCGGCACACCCCTCACGAGGATCGTGGCCCCATAGTTGTGCTGCTTCACCAACCGCGCCTGGGCGTTGTACTCCGCCTTCTCGACGTGCACCGGCACCTCCTCCCTCATGGCTCTCAAAGCCCTGTGCTGCTTCTGCTCCTCGGTCAGAGGGACGCCGTCCTTGTCGTCGTCGGCGCCCGCGAAGACGGCCACGAACGTGTTCCTGAGCATGTCGGGCTCCGGCGGGAAGCCGTGGCCACATAGGGAGCGCGGTCGAAGATGGTATTCACATTTGCGGTATTCACAACTGCATATGGTTGGGTCTTTCGCCAGGCTAATGAAGAGACAGCGCCCCGCGTTCCTTCCTCCTCCCGCTGCCCCCACCCTCCTCCTCGCATCATCGTCATCTTCATCATCATCATCATCATCATCATCATCATCATCATCATCATCATCATCATCATCGTCATCATCATCATCACCATCATCATCCTCACAAGGATCGTGGCCCCATAGGAGCTCCACCGAAGGCGCCAGTAGCAAAGTGCGCATGGCGGCCTCGGGC